GCAGTTGAATTTGCTTTCATCAGTATGTAACAGCATATGAAGTTTGATAAAAAAAATATCTTGAATGGTAAAACTGAGCTAAACACAAATTTAAGATAATTCAAGGTCAAAAGAAAGGTCTAGGTCAAAAATGGTAATGCAGTTGAATAGCTGTCATCAGTATGTATCCAACATGTGATGTTTGATAACAATATCTTAAATGGTATGTTTAAAACTGCGTTAAACATTAATTTAAGAAAAGCGAGGTTAATGTCAAAGGAAAGGTTAAAAAATGTTGATGTCATTGCAAATCTCTCATCAGTACATCATGTATCTATCAGCATACGAAGTTTGATGAAAACATCTTGGATAATTTCTTTGAAACTGAGCTTTGAACAGAGCTAAACACAAAGTGTGATGGAAGGACAGACGGAAGGATGGAAGGACACAAGGCCGGAAGACGGACAACAAACACTATATGCCTCGGCCATATTCATGGTGGAGAATAATGTTGATGTCAGGTGTAATTACGTGTTTAATTAGTTCGCATGCAAAAATATAATTTAAATCAATGACATGCGATGTGCCACTCATGATCATTGCCTGGTTTTTCAGTGGACTGATTTTTAACATTATCAATTTTCAGGAATTTCAAATAAAACATTGTAAAAAGCTTAAAATGAAAAAATAACTGCAGCCATAGACCCATGTAATTTTGAATTTATAATTGTAAAATTTATTTCTTTTGTATTTCTACCTTTTATTAATGTTCCTCGCTTTTCACAGATTTCAAATATTTCCTCGTGAACCTCAAGTCCTTTCGTTGATTTTAACTTTCTTATTTCCTTCATACTTCGCTTGAGTAGACGATTCAGTAGTGTTGTTTTTCCCGCCCCAGCACATCCTACAATCATCCCCCGGGCATGATGGACTTCCTGTACTCCCCCTCTCTCGGCATACTGAACGTACCGCTCCCTGGCTTTCTGGTCCCATTCCAATATTTCCCGTGGTACTTTCACTGTCCATATCACATTCAATGATAAATAATTGTGTAAATACTCAAAATAGATCTTCACATACATTGAAGAAAAAATATCTATTCAAATTATTTCTTTCCTTTCTTTATCATGTGTTTATAAACATACACAATATTTTAATGTTGTAGAAGAATAAGATGAATAAACATGCTCGATCATGCATCGATTCAAAAGCTAAGATTCAAAGATCTCAAGCTCATTGAAATTTGTACGTTTTATCTTTTTTCTCACCATGCAATAGATTATATTACAGAATTATAATTTTTATTACAATACTGTACAATCATTAGAAATTCTTGTTTGAAACAATACTTGATTTCTGAATCTTAGATTAATAATGAATATTCAGTTTCTTTATCGATCAATCATTAATAATTAAATGACAGAGACATGATCAATACTTACAACGTCTACTGATCCTGCCATGAATCCCCCTGTCAGACACGGTACAGTGTGTGATGATGTCCAGCTGTAGTTTGTCTATGAAGAGGTCGTACATCTTCTCCGGTCTGTCCGGTAAATACAGACATCTCTCTCCCTCACTCCTCTTATAATTCCAGGACCGGCAGTATTCTGAGATCACGTCACGTGACGCCGTGGTCAGGAAAAACTCCAGATCACTGTCCTCCACCAGACACTCCGTAACAAAGGCGTACATGATGTCATGTCGGATGTCGTCTGATACAAACGTAACCTCACCATTCTGGGTTTCCATAACATCATCTTGAAGGGATGTCACATCAACATCATCAGACGGAGAAATCCTTTGGTAATACCTTTCTCGTATCTTTATCAATATTGACGTGAACGCCTCCCCATTTACAGTAGCAGTGTACTTGTCACACAACAGTAAACTGTATAGAATACTTTTGTCGACTTCTGGATATTCCTGATACTTGCCTAAAATGAATGAAATCAAAGAGTTAAAGGATTACATGTATAACCGATTACAGGCCTGCGTATTCATAGATTTATCAAGGTATACTTTTCCTATATAGACAATTCTACTATAAACGTTATTGATTTTTAGACGAAAAACACAATTTTAATAAATCAAGAGTCTTTCTAGGATTGCCTTCATAAAAATTATTTTTATACGTTGAGAAATGATAACTGATATTTTTTGTTTATATAAAAAGACTTTAAATAGATTCTCCCCAGTCTGGGAGTATGTAAGATATGAAAGGAAATTGACACGACCCTCCGAATAATAATGACGTGGTAATAGTGCATGGTCAAAAAAAAAGAAACGTTTTTCAATAGTAAAAATTGTTTTGGATATGTTCTACAGCTGCAAATGACACAAAGATATATTTTCTACATTCTGAACCGCGGCTTGCAGCATAGTCTATTCTACCATTGGCATTATTACGTGACCAAGAGGGTATCAGCAGGTGGTTTATTTTGACAGTACTACATCTTCATTTTAAAGACAATTAATTCTTATTATTCATGAATGATCATGGGTATTTTTTTTACATCGATGGATCTATTAATGAGCAAATGCAGTAAATGTTTATTTTAATTCTTTAAAATTATTTATTTTGCTTTGAAAACTGAAATAAATGATTCAACTATTTCACCTTTTAATAACTTGTCGTGCTTTTCTTGCACGGACGCTTTTAAAAATTGTAAAAGATTCTTTTTAATGCTTAATTTTGTTTGCAATCGATTTGATGCTTTGCATCAATTTAACTTGTATGGGTCTGAATTGAATCAAAGTACTGTAAACGTGGTTATATTGACGAGTTGAAAAATTGACGATTTTTTTATTACGAAAATTGACAAGTGTTTATTAATCAAGTGTATCAAATCTTTGAATTCACGGGGATACAAAGGCAGCGTCGGAATCACTAAAATTTAATTTTTGTACAAACTATGTACTATCTAAATAAATTGCCCTCTGGTAATTTGATTTCATTATAAGGTGACAAACTAGGACAAGCACAGCTTGATAATTACGCTAAGTTACGCATGCAGTATTTGATACACTGATTTAGATTCAATGATTTTTTAAAAATGTGATTATATATCATTATGTTTTTATAACTAATTACAACAGAAATTAACAGTGACTTTGATCTTGTTATAAAAGGAAATTTTCATTTAAAGACTGCATTACCCATTTATTTCTTTATTGACAATACTGCAACAAAAACTGGGGCACGGGCGGTCTTATAATGAACATTTCCAATAGGATCAGATGTGTCTGATGCACCTTATATCCCTTACTTTTTAGATGTGTTCAATCGCTCCCGATAGACAAAACGTTTTGCAGGCAGGGTAATGCTAAATAAATTATCTTATCTAATGATCCCCACTTGAAAGTCTTATTTTAATTCAAATACATGTAAAACTATGACATTTTATATTATCATCTTTTGTCTATACATACTCCTGAAACAAAACTTTGATAGAAATTGATATATTGTTCTTTTCAGTTAGAGTGTCGGTAGACGTTCACATGGGTTTAGTTTCTTTTCAAATTAAAATGGGGGGGGGGGGGGGCACGTGCGAACTATATGTAGAACGATGAAGATGTACTTATTTATTTTACTAAAGTACAACACACAATTAATACTGTCGTGTTTAAGTTTGTACTCATTTTTATCTGTTTAGATTAAAATAAATTAATAAATTTTTAATTAACTTAATAAATCGACGTTTCATAGCTTTGTTCGGTATCAAAACCAGTATCATGATTTAACAGTAACACAGTGCTTTTTATTCGTCCAAAATTATTTAATCTGGTATCTGGTATCCAGCCGAATTACATAATCTTTCAACATACAATCGGAAACTCTGTGAAGCACCTGTGTGTAGAAGAAATCGCCTGAGGCGACCCGAGTGTGTACGGTAGCGGGTAAAGAAGACAATAGGTGTCACTGCTGCATTATACAGAAGATTCACTGGAAGTTAGTTACGCAACATTACGGGGCGACTTCGATTCGTACCCGAGTACGTACTCGAGTTACTTGAGTTTCAATCGAACGACCATAGTTACTACTCAAATTACGTCATCTGACCTTATGAACATCTACCCAAGCTAACCCAGCCATACAGTAGGATTACTAGAGTTTCGATGTGGCGGCGTCGAAAGAAAAACCCGAACTGTCGGAATTTTTTTTTTCAAAATATTATGTTTAGCATCGCTAACCTCGAAACGCACTTTCTACATGAAAGCTTTACAATTTATATGAATATATGTTTATTTGATTAGATTTTTCAAGCTTACTGCCCGATTACAGCAGAGAAATAAATTCAAATTCGAAACCAAAAAAGTTCAGAGCTGAAAAAAAAGCATTTCAACTGCAGCAAAAGCTATAGAAAAAATAAACTCAACAGATGATGTCAGAAGGGACCTATTTGCCTGCCTCATAGAGGAAAAAAAACTAATTAGAAAATAGTATAAATATAAACGAACAAGTATGCATGGTTTATAATGTAACAGATTTACTTTTTTCATTTAGAAATATTAAAAAATCAAAAGTTTACATTGTAACTGCAAAAAGTTAAGATTCTCATTCATTTTTTTTCCAAAGTACAATTTTTAAATGGGTACATGGCGTATGCATTATTTGCAGTTCATTAGTGAAATGTTAAAAAATAATAAGATGAAAATAAGGCTTAGAATGAAACAAAATATTCAAGTTATGTTTGTTTTCAAATACAGTGTACTTGAAAGTTTTTAAGCATTGTTCGTAAAATAATTATCTAAATATTCAAAATCTAAGTTTATTGTGTTACAACCTGAATTCCTAAAAATAAAAAATGCGCAAAATTGTCACTTTATTGATAAAATTATCGTACAGTGCAAACATGAACTCCATTATTTTCGCTACCCTTCAAACTCACATGAGTTCGCTTGAAAACTATATGTTTGTGTAAACATCCGGTCATGTGACGTCAACCAAGAGTTAATACTCGGGTACGAATCGAAGTCGCCCACGGCGACAGGTAGACTCTTCTTCAAGACAGTTTGAATTTGATAAATTCAACACCAACACAAACGTAATATAAATATGCAATCTACAATCCTTCAACCTCTTCTTAGATTAAATAAAGATTGTTTTTTAATATACCTATCACCGGGGAAAATAAGTGTCAAACTTTCCGGCAACAATTAATAAAACATAAAAATGCTAACGATGGAATAGCACTTTATTATAAACATAGGTCGGTAGGGTGAATTCTGGAAATCCAAAAATTGCACCCGAACAATCCGAAGCCTAGGAGTTAACTCATTAATAATGATACATGTAAGATATAAATAATAAAATATAACAATAGCAATTAGCACAATTCTGAGCATGAGTGACATATGGCCTAGATGGAATAACTCATGACATGCTGAGTAAAGTGATTAATAATTAATTTCCAGATTCGGAGTTACATAGTAATTAGCATAATTAAAGTTTCTCAAGTTGTTTAAAATAAATACATGTACAGTAAATTAAGAGTATATTTTAAAGTCAGCTGAAACATGTCACTAAAATAGTTTTAGCAAATATCACACCGTGATATACCGACGTAAGCATGGTAAAATAAAATTAACGATTAATGAAAAAGAAGATTGGTGTAAAAACCAAACGGGGAAAGGCACAAATTATTTAAAGATTTAAGCAAAAATAAATGTGCATTACATCCAAAGTTTTGTAAAATTACTGGTTCCTAATATTTTTTGTTAAGTCGTGTTAGTGTGTGTGTCGGAGAGTGGAGTAAGGAATTCGTTTGATTATCAAATCAAATAAAAAATAATTCATAGTATATTTCCTGAACATTTTATCAGTAATTAAGAATAATTAAAAATCAAACACAATTTATGTGCAGCAGTATTATGACAGTAAAATAAAATTAATATCAGCCGGAGTTTAACTATATTCTAAACTTTGCCTGGGTTGATATTGATTTTTTAGAGAGAGAGAGATCTCTAGATCTAGAGAGAGAGAAGAGAGAGACATGAATGGTAACTCGTCACGGAAGATAGTGGGCACCTCCAATTAGCGAATAATCTTAATCTTATGAAAAGAAATTAAAGATGTTAGTGAAACCTGAATCAAATAAATAATGATTACGGGTATAAATTGATCAAATGGACAAAGAAATTTGTATCATTCAAAAAACTTACACATTTTTATAAATAATATTCAAGAACCGGTATACTAGATATTTTTTTTCATGTAACGTGCGTGCATGGGGTGGGGGTGGGGGGGTGGGGGTGGGGCTTATACATGTATGCTAAAGGGTTCGAAATAAATATTTGTGAGCACTGGTTCGACAGACTAATGACTTTCAATTCTCACTGCTTCGTAAAATATTTTACTAGATAAGTCCGCCTTCTGCTTTATTATTATGTTAACATTATAACACCCTCTACGCCTACCTTCTTTAATGAGATGAAATTTAATTTCGGCACATAAAATTAAATTAATTCCAATTCACCGATAGCTACAGGGGAAAAATGGAAGGTATGAAACATGTAATATTTCTGTAAAAATTGAATCATGATTAAAAAATACTTTTAAAAGTTTAACTTAAGTTTAAAAACTAAATAGTGATCTAACCATCGGCAATGTGAATAAACTTATGAACCATGCGTTATCAATCAACCAACCATTCATTTAGATATAATGCTTTAAGAGACAAAATTAACAAGGCATAGTACAAGTTTATATACGGAACACTGTACTGCTCAATAGGGGAACTCCCGTATGAGCAAATGAAACCGGAAATCTTAAACAGGGGTATATAATTATATGACTTGTACAGATGTCCGAGAATATTAGAAAACTGGATTACCTATCAGTAATTATTCAATGTTTAGAAGATTTCCTTTTTTAACTAGAAACAGCTGTCCTGATTGTGAAAAGAAAATCGATACAGCTTTCCCATCGTAAAAA